CTTCAAGCCTTTAAGACCCCAGACGCTATATCTTTTGATAGCCGGGCACCGTTAGCTCTCTTCACCACATTTGCTTATGCACACGTTTGTCTTCATGATTGTGTCAGTAAAGCGGGCAAACATTTTCTTTCTATGAGCCCTTGTCATCAGCTCCTCTTTTTTTTCTCCCTCTCCCACCTTCCATTCTCATGAAACCTTGATAAATTAGAAATTATTGTTAGTTTCATATCTTACACTGTCCACTGTCTCCCCTCACCCACATTTCTGTTGTTCATCCCAACCTGCGGGGGGTTTATACATTTATCATTGTGATCAGTTCCTCCTTTCCCCCCCACCCTCATGGTATGGCTACTCCCATTATTGTTCCTGAGGGGTTTCTCTGTTCTGGATTCCATATGTTGAGGGTGAAGCCACTTATTTATTGAGTTTTTACTGTACTGCTCTTCTGTAGTCTGTAACACAATCATTTATTTTGAAAATTAACATTTTAAAATAAATATGATCTTGTCTGCTTGATGCCATATTACAGAAAATGATATTATTATTTCTGATTCCATTCTAGATTGTATCCCAAGGAATTCCCATGAGAGCAAGAATGATTCATTCTCTTTCAGGTAAAAAGACTGCAATTCCTTATGGGACAAAGTCTCAGGTAGGTTTTTTCTAGAGATATTTGTTTCTTTATTGATTAGGGAACAGTTTAAAGGCAGTGCCTAATCCTGAAGACTAAGTTTTGCCTTTGTGAATGAGCATTATTAAAAATTTTATTATGTTTCTAACCCTCATTGCTTTCTTAAACAATGGCCTGTTTCTTAAGTTTTTAACCTGTGTAAGTGAACATCCCTTGTATCTTAGTCTAAAATCCTTTCCTATTTATGTATATTTTCTTTTTCTCAATAGAACTTTGAATTCTATTTAATTGATTAGTTAATGATACTATTTTTAGACTAGCCAAATGTGTCATAGAGGTTACTTAAATTATTTAAACAAGGTGAAAATGCTGCCTTTAATGTGGACCAGGGTATATAAAAATATAAATGTAAATATATATATATATATCAGCACAACTTGTAACCAATATGCAACTGGGCTCTTTAGCTTTTCGTAATTCAGGTGTTTAAAATTTAACCTATGACACTGTTCCCTCCTTTGAATTTGGATTTTATTATTTTTAATCCTTGGCTTATACATGCTGATGTGCTACTTTCATGTAGATTTAGTTGATGCCTCACTTAAATAGCTGCTTGATTTTCAACAAAACTTTAAGACTCTAGGTCAACAGTTCTCAATCTGTGGGTCGCGACCCACTTGGAAGTCAAAAAACCCTTTCTCAGAGGTTGCCCAATTCATAACAGTAGCAAAATTACAGTTATGAGTAGCAAAGAAAATAATTTTATGGTTGGGGCTCACCACAACATGAGGAACTGTATTAAATGGTTGCGACATTAGGAAGTTTGAGGACCACTGCTCTAGGTGCTATTCTTTAGATAGCTGGGCACCATCTGATTTTTCCAGCACACTTTTCTATAGCACCAATATCTTCAATGATCTCTTCATGAGGATGAGTTTATAGTGGGCTCATGTCATTAGAAATAATTGTTCTTAGGTATGGCTATGATTACATGTAAGCCCTAAATCCATCTATATTATTTCCTTATATCTGTAGTTCGCTTTAGAGACATCAGTATCCATTTTGTATTAGAGACCATTATAAATCAGTCCCTGGAGTAAAGGTAATTCTATGGATAGTATCATTAATGTAGCCAATGGTATAGAATTTAAAACACTGTTGAGAGAAGGAATTTTTATCTATATATATAGTCTGATTTTTGAAACCACAATACATGAATTGTTGATGTGTACAGATACAAGCTTAAGTGAATGGACACAATTAACACAAAAATGATGGTTGTGCATAATGAAAAGCTTTCAATAACATTTATTCACAAAAGTAGATCCATGCCTTGAAGAAGGACCAAGTTATTTTTATACCAACTATATATTTAACTGTTATTTTAAAGTTTCTCTTTTTGAATGTAGTGAAGAGTCACAAACCAGCATATTAGTGTTAAATATTGTAAAACTCTATTATTTGGAAAATAATCGGCTTTAAATATTTTGAGCAGTAACCACCCTGAATTGCATTGCAATTACCCAACTACCTATCTGTTACTTCGTTTCCCTGTGGTGGCTTGCAGGCTGCTGTGATGCTGGAAGCTTTGCTACCCGTTTTTCAAATACTATCAGGGCTGCTTCTGGTGGAGATGTTTCAGCAGAACTAAGACCGAGTACAATGAAAAGTCTTGTGATCTACTTGTGAAAATCAGCCAGTGGAAATCTTATGGATTCACAACAGAAAATTGCTTATTATAATGCAGGAAGATGAGCCCCCTAGGGTGGAAGATGTTCAAAATATTAAATGACCCCAGACGTACCAATGAACATGCAGATGCCAAAGGATTAGGAAAAGTTTGTTACATTGTGCACAGTGTTGCCACAAGTTGGAGCCAACATAATGGCTGGTAACAAGCAAGTGTGGTTTTCATAGGCTCTGTTTTGCCTGGTAGAACTGTTTCCCTTTAATAATAATTAAATATTAATAATGTGATTTGATGACTCTGCTGTATAAGGTACATATATTTCAGTTGATATTATTATATATTTATTGCTCCTATATTCATTTTTTCTTCTGAATCTAAAGATATTAAAATTTTTTCATGGACCTCTAAAAATATATGGGATCTAAGGGTCAGAATTGACTGGATGGCAGTGAGGTTTTGAGTTTGGAACAACACTATTAGAAACACTGGTGGCATTGTTCAGATAAGGGGTGGACTGTTCACCACGAGGTCAACAATTCAGGCCTACTGGCTACTCTGTGGGTGAAAGCTAAGGATATCTGCCTTCACAAAAACATACAGCCTCAGAAATCAAACATAGGGAAGATCAGATCACTATGAGTAGGAATCGACCCAATGTCAATGAGTTTGGGTTTTTATGTATTTGTTCATTTGAAATGTCCTATTTAACCTACAGCAAACATTATTAATATTCCTTATTATCTAAAAAATCTAGCTCTGATAAATTGTTCTATTAAGTCAGAAACAACCAACAACCTATATCCTGCCTAGGGCTGATTTTCTACCTACAAACCGCCATTTCCACCACTACCACCACACATACAACTTTTACTAAAAATGAAGTCCTTAAATGTAACCCCTTAGGAAACAATACATATTTTGTGGTGATGCTATTATTACTGAGATTTCCCTAAACTTGGATACTTAAGATTATCAATATAAGATTTATGATTAGTTGCTAGTGATGATTGATCAATCTTTTATCTTAGTAAAAATAGTATTTTTTCCTTTGAGTAGGGTTTGGTTTTTATTTTTATTATTTATTTTGGGGGGGCTTAGGGGGTTCTTTATTGATGCTGTCTCAGTCTCCACCAGGGATGGGGTGTCTCTGCCCCCCCCCAGGTGTTCCAGACTTGCTATCTTAGAGGCAGGGAGCCTGCTCTCCTCTAAGCAAAGCTTGGGAAGCAGGGCTAGTCGTGGGGGGGAGAGGGGTTTGGTTTTTATAGTACCAAACTTTGAAAAAGCCTAAGTTTAAAGTTGAGCATTGTGCTACATGTATTGTGCTTAAATGTTTAAAAACAAACAAAAATGGTCTATTTTGCTAAATTATCACAAAACAAAATTTGCAACTTTCTGCTGAGTGAATAATGTGGATCTGTCTTTGCTCGTTGTTGTGAATTAAACAGTACTTACCATATTTTCCTTGCAGTTTATTCTTTCTATAAGCAGAGAAAAACTAAACAAGGATCTATTGACTGGTAAGTTACATGGTTTAATTTACCAGTTGTTGTTTTGAGTAAAGTATATGAGACTAAACTTGTCACATGATGTATTGGTTTTTGTCTGCTATTCCTTTTTATGGAATATTAAGAACCAGGCTACATGGTTGGCAAAATCCTTTTGCAAAACTAGTCTTGATACATCCTCTGGCGTTGTTTTTCTTATCTAGAGAAAAATAATTTGTTATGATGTATATTGAATTTCTATTGTCTTGTAAGCACTGAAATACTCACTCCCATGTGGAAACTCAGTCTAGTGGAACAACATATACTTCTCAAAAAATTAAGTGATGTGATTAGAGCTGCACTTCAGCAAAATGGAAAGTTGTAGCATGGAGGGTGCTTGCTGTTTTGGGGACCTAACACACAATGGAACAACATTTGGCCCAATCTGGATAGATGATGCGTCCCAGGAATCAAACCCAGATCTCTAGCCCCAAAGGCAAGGCTATTACCAATGTCTCATTGTGGAGAATGATAAAAGATATGTCCTGATTCTCCTCCTCCCATCCCTTACCCCCATGTTCACTCGTGTGCTCCTGAACAGACGCTGTAGCCATGTAGTTTGAGGAAAGAGTATAGATTCACAATGTGAGCATAGCTCTGCTCTAACACATAAGAGGGTGTCACAGGTCTGGATTGCCTAAGAAGCAATTTATCTGGATGGTGGTTTGTAATGAGAAAGGATCAAGTTCTGAGATTTCTCATTTAAGTAACTAAAAAGCCTTGCCTAAGAGCGTAAAAGTCTATGAGTTTGAAAATTAAATGTGTAACTTGGATAATCAATCTAATCACATTCTATATAGTCCTTAGTAGAGTTAAGCCTGGGTCAAAACAGCTTTTTATCTTTGTCAGCAATTATACTAAGCAAATTCATTTCTAGGAAATCCTGACACTTAAGTATTTCCACTACGTTTTAAAACAAGTCTTCTTGATACAGTTCAGTATCCTATAAATCATTGGAAAGCAGACTTTCCACACAATATCTTTTTGTTTCTCCACAGCCTACTACAGTTTGCAACACATCTTTTTTTGTATTGCATGACATTTTGAGACATATGGTGGGGAAAGTGAATCCAGTTGATACGCTAGGGACTTAAGAAATAGGCTTATTATTAATAATCAGATGAGTAGAGGTAGGTGGAAGTGGGCAAGTTTGTTAGATGTATTTGTGTTTTTCATAAAATAGCATTTTTTTAAAAAAGAAAAATTTGTTATCTTTGTTGTTCCCATCATTTCCTACACATGCCAATCTAAAATAATCCCTTAGTAGCATACTCTGAATTTATTAAAATAAAGTTTTAAAGCAAATATTCACTGAGGTCTCAGGAACAGTGTGAAGTGCTTTATATATATCATTTTTTATAACCCTCTTAACAACTATGTGAGGTGCAAATTACTTTTTTATCAGTTTTACTGATGATGAAATGAAGGCTTAGAAAGCTTAGGTCACACTTGTTAATAAGTAGTAAGATCTGGATTTGAATTTGTGTATATTTTATTCCAAAATCTATGCATTTAACCACTACCGTTACTGTCTCCAATATTAAATATGAATCACCTGCTTAAGCTATGAAGCCCAAACACAGGGAAGTATAAAATCCTGATGGCTAAGTCAGACGCTCCCTTGGTTTTATTATGAATGTTCTATCCCACCTGCAATTTAAAATGCTATACATTATGCTAATAAAGTGAAGGCTGGTCCTCTTGACTCTTCCGCTCTATTGATAATATGTTGTTGTTGAGTACTTTCAAGTCTATTTTCAATTTATGGTGATACCCATGACAGAATACAACTGCTCCCAGAGTTTACTTGGATATCGGTATGCGAATAGATTGATAAATCCTCCCACAGGTGGCTCAGTGTATTCAAATGGCTAATCTTTCAGTTCACCACTCAGTGCTAACCTATTGCATCACCAAGGTTCTGATTCAGCACATCATGTTCTTTATTTCTGTATTCAATATCAAATGTATGATCCACCCGTTACACATGTGGTAGTCACCTAATCTGGTGTCAATTTGAGGATTAAGTGTGTAGAGGTGGAGTCTAGCCTGTCAATCTGGAGATAGCCAATGAGACCTCTGTGCAGGCATGGCCTTCTCCTGAGAATTCTGGGAAATCCGGTACTTCCTCTTTGGAGGCGGGAGACACTTCTCCCTCTGACACGCCATGGGAGACAGCAGCTGACAAGATACATGGACCCACCCTGATGTAGAGGCCTGCCAGCGCTGAGATGTTTCCAATGCAGAGACCCCTGCCAGCGCTGAGATGTTTCCAATGACACTGGATCCAAAGACTTTTTATCCCCTGGCCTGTGATCTTCTACATTCAGCGTCATTACATGTGTTTTGTGAGTCTGAAGAGGACTTTATAGATTGGTATCAGACATGTGGGCGAATATCGGACTTATGGACTTGATCTGGACTGGGCTGGGATGTTTTCTCAATGTTCAATTGCTCTTGTATATAAATCTCTTTCTAATACACATATGTGTGTCCATGGATTTGTTTCTCTAGTCTACCCAGACTAACACAACACATATTCAATATATTTAAAATATTCATTCCTCCTTAACTGAGTAGTCTCTCCTCTGAAAATATTCCTACATCAGCATGTCACATAGGATTGTTTCATGATTTACTAGCTGTATGAGATGTAATTGTTAAGCAAAACAATACAAAACCAGGCTATGCGATAAAGTGAGTTTGAAAACCTAGTTTGCTTTGAGAAGTTTTCAGAGCAGTGTTGTCCAATATGTGGCCAGAAATACAAGACATGCATGTACATTTAAATTTATATCAGTCACTTAAGAAAACTGAAAAGAAACCAGAAATAATTTAAATAATATATTTCTTTAAACCAATCTCCAAAACATTATGTAATTCCAATATTCAACCAATATGTCAAAATTATTTGAGACTTTTATATTTTTCAAATTCTTTCTCTTTTGTTGGTATTGACTCACTACTAAGTCAATCCTGATCCATAACAACCCTGTAGACAGAGTGTAACGTGTCCCTTTGTGTTTCTCATGCTGTAAATCTTAATGAAGCAGAAAGCCTCATCTTTCTCCATAGAACAGCTGGAGGATCCAAGATCCTGATGTTGTGGTTAGGAGTCCAACATGTAATCCCTTAACATGTGCAATACATCTCAATTAGGACTAGCTACATTCAGACCACTCGAGAGGGTTGCTGCATTCCATATTTTTCAATAGGGAGAAATAGAATTTGGTTGAATCATGCTTAACTTCAAGAGCATGACTAATTTTTCATAAGATTAAATTCACTAAATTTTAATGATTGTTAGGGGTCAAATTAAAAAAATGCTAAAATAATATCATTCTTTTTATTGAAAAAGTCCAAGTATACATTGCTGGATTTCAAAAAGGCCTGAGATCAATAATCTACATTCAAGGAAGGTGATCTGAAATCCAGGGGCGTTGCTAAAAATATATGGAGAAGCTGGTATGATTTGAGGAAAGAAGTTTGGCAGAACATTTCCAATAACAAATAATGCCTTTAAGTTAGAGGGAACTTTATGTTTTACTCTATTTTGGAAAATATATAGATGAGAAAACAACTTTTACACGGACAGCTCATTGGTATTGTATTCATTGTGTTGTTGAGCCATTATCTTTATGCAGTCTCAGATTATACTATCACCCGGAGCAGACACTCCATGGCTCATAAGCACCGAGTTCTCCTTTTGTCTTCAACACGTCCACTCTGGCAACCACCGGTAAACTTTGGTTTCTGTATACTTGCCTACTCAAAATAGAGACACATTCGAAAAATACGTGTTACTTACTTCTTTCTGAGGATGTGAACAATTACAGTGTTTAAGAGATGACAAAATGGAATCAGTTGCCTTTTATGTGTGTGTATGAGAGAGGTAAGAGTACCTGATTATTTTGAAACCCCAAGTTCATATTTTTATCAGGAACTTAGCAGTGGAGTGCATTCAATTAAAAAATCTATTTTCTCTATACCTGCAGCAGTATTTGGTGCTCAAACAATATGATCTGCGCGAGCAGATAACTGAATAGGCATGAAATGCTTTTTTCACTCTGTTACATCATAATAGCCTCAAAGAATTGGTCTCCAAGCCAACATTTTGTTTACAATTGTTTTTCCTGTGCATCCTCAGAATGGTCTACTTCTATAAAAGATCTAGCCAAGACCATACAAACCCTCTAACACCACAGCCTATCAAAAACAACAGTATTTAAAAATACTCAGCAATATGTCCCAGATCCATATTCTAATTCTAATTTTCTATTATAAATTCTAATATGGAGCAAATAGTTGGGTCTTAAAATCTGCCCTTCAACTTGCATTTTAAGTAGAAGAAAATTTAAAAAAATTTTTCTTTACTAATAAATCATACAGGAACACTTGACAAATATCTTCCAAATTATTATAACAAATACTTTTTTTTACATTATGAATAATAAATGCCCTCTATTGTACTGTTCACAAGCCCTGGTGGCATAGCAAAGTCAGTAGCTCAAAATTACCAGCAGCTCCATGGAATAAAGATGAGGCTTTCCACTGGAGATCCCCTTGCAGAGGGGTCTCAGGGAGGAGATGAGCCAGTCAGGGTGCGATGTAACAATGATGAGAAATACAACTTTCCTCTAGTTCCTAAATGTTTCCTCCCTGCTCCCACTACCATGACTCGAATTCGATCTTGCAAGTCTGGCTAGACCAGAGGAGGTACACTGGTACAGATAGGAACTGAAAATACAGGGAATCCAGGGCGGATGAGCCCTACAGGACCAGTGGTGTGAGTGGCAAAACAGGGAGGGTAGAGGGAGAGTGGGTAGGAAAGAGGGAACCGATTACAGGGAACTGTGTGTGACCTCCTCCCTGGGGGACAGACAACCGAAAAGTGGGTGAAGGGAGACGGACAGGGCAAGATATGACAAAATACCCATTTATAAACTATCAAGGGCTCATGCGGGAGGGGGGAGCGGGGAGGGAGGGGAAAAATGAGGACCTAATGTCGGGGGTTTGAGTGGAGAGAAACTGTTTTGAGAAACGATGTACAAATGTGCTTTACACAATTGATGTTTGTATGGATTGGGATGACAGTTGTATGAGCCCCTAATAAAGTGTTAAAAAAAATATATTCTTTTTGAAAAAAAAAAAAGATGAGGCTTTCTGCTCCTCTAAAGAACAACTGTTTCAGAAACCTCCAGGGGCAATTTTGTCCTATCCTATAGGTTCACTATGAGTTAGCATCAAGTTAATGGCAGTGAGCTTGGTTTTTTGGTTTATTGTACTATTCTCAAAAATGATTAACATTTCAATTTAGCTTAATGAACTAAAAATTTTAATTCTATGTCCATTTCTTTCTTTCTTTCTTTTTTCCCTCAGCTGTTGAGAAATATCCTAATGTGAAGCTGCACTTTGGCCACAAGTTGTTGAAATGTAACCCTGAAGAAGGAATGATCACAGTGCTTGGGTAATTGCTGGGTCAGGCTTTTTACTTCAGAAGTAAAGCGTTGGAATGGAAAATCTGTAAACTTTGTTCTTTGGCTATTTTGAAAGAGCTAAAGAATTACTAGGAGGGTAATTCAAATAGTTTTTAGAGTCAAAGATTTTAGATTTTAATTGCCCTTATATGTCTTCTGCCTCTTGCTCTTTCATCCTTTTAGAATAGTCAACACTGGTGATTGATCCGTTTCTCTTTCAAACTCTTCTTCCCATGAAATCATGTTGCCTTCACTGTCCTGTGTCTCTTCTCTCTCTGAGGGCTAATTTTCTGAATCTCCTTGACTGAAAAACTCCCTGAAAATTCCTCCTCTTGGAATATCATGGGTTTATAGTAATAGATTGGACAACAAATTTGTAAATACACCTCTCTAAAAGGAAATTTTCTAGCCCATGTCTCTATCCTCAGTCTCAATACATGTTGTGTTTTCACATCAAACATCTTACCAGTATCATAAATATATCTGAAACCTTGGTAACAAATTTTTCTTTTTTTTTTTTTAGATGATTTTCTTTCTTTTAAAAAAAAAACATTTTATTAGGGGCTCATACAACTCTTATCACAATCCATACACACATCAATTGTGTAAGGCGCATTTGTACTTCATTCTCAAAACATTTTCTCTCCACTTAAACCCCCCACATTAGGTCCTCATTTTTCCCCTCCCTCCCCGCTCTCCCCTCCCTCATGAGCCCTTGATAGTTTATAAATTGTTATTTTGATAACAAATTTTTCTAAAGCATATCTTATTTCTGATTTACCTAGTTGTAATTTTCTGTTGTTTGCAAATCAGTTCTGAGTCATCGCTATCGCTATCCTGTGGATAACAGAATGAAATGTTGCTCACTCCTATGTTATCTTCATGAACGTTGGTATGTGCAAGTTCATTATTGTGGCCACTATGAATTTTGAGCGAGTTTCGAGCTAGGGACTTGTCTTTCAGCTTGATTTGTTGGATCCTGTTGTAATTTGTAGAAATAGATCACCAGGCCTATCTTCATCATTTTTTCTCTGGTATGTGAACTGAAATTTGTCTGCCGTGAGTGACCCTGCTGGTATTTGAATTACTGGTGGCATAATTTCCAGCATTGTAGAAACATGAAAGCTACCATGGTATGACAAACTAGCAGACGGCTTCTGAACTTCCCTAATGCTGCTGCTGTGGTTGGTTGTCATGGAGACAGTTCTGACTCAGAGCTCTTATACACGACAGAAGGAAACACTGCTCAATCGTGTTTGAGACCATTGTTGAAGCCACTGATTTGATCCATCTCACTGAGGGTCTTCCTTTTACTCTCTGACCCTCCCCTTTATCAAGTATGATGTTCTTCTCTATGGACTGGTCTCTCTTGATAACATGTCAAAAATATGTGAGAAGAAGTCTTACTCTTCTCATATCGAAGGAGCAGTCTCCTGGACTTCATCCAAGATCTGCTGTTGTTAGGTGCCCTCGAGTCAGATCCAACACCCAGTGCTCCTGTGTGCCACAGAATGAAGCATTGTCTGGAATTGCGCCATCCTCATAGTTAGTCTTATGTTTGAACCCATGGTTGCAGCCAATCCATATCATCCACAGCCTTTCTCCTTTGTGCCTCACCACTTTACCAAGTGTGATGTCCTTCTTCACTCCTGATAACATGTCCAAAGTATTTTAGAGAAAGCCGTGGCATCATTGCCTCTAAGGAACACTCTGGTCTTACTTCTCCTAGCTTGGTTTGT